GTAAACACACTTTATTTGGTAGGTGTCCCCTGAGAGGAAATTTCTTTACACTTAGGAAGTGCCTTATGACCTGTGATGATAATAACTTCTACGCTGCCGTCCTGGCTCCTCTTGCACTCACTGTGAGATCATTCCACTTTCCAAATGAATTTTCTCATTCAGTGTAATTTTGATCCCAATTATTCTCATAAATTAATGACACTTTGCCACAGGATTTTTTTTAAAAACTGGATAGGTTTGCTATTTGTTTGGCAGTAGTTTTCTCAAGAGACTAAGAAAGGGTCACCGAAAAAGACAACCAAACTTCTTTCCAGTCAGATCTCTTTCTTTCTTCACAGAATATAATTTTCTAATAGAGAAGAGAAAATGCCATAAAACTTATAACAAGATATCTTTAGAATTGTATATTAACTATAAAAAAAACTTAGTTTTTCATCATAGTTTATAAAGGGTATGCATTTTTAAAATACATTATCCATGAAATATGTATAAAGGCAGTAGAGTTCTTTTGAGAGAAATTACCAATTTTTAATTTTGTAATTTTTGCTAAATAACATTTATAACCAAATCTAGTCAAAATTGGAAAGAAGCCAGGCACAGTGGCTCACACCTGTAATCAGCACTTTGGGAGGCTGAAGTGGGAGGATCATTTGAGGCCAGAGTTCAAGACCAGTGTCGGCAACAAGGCAAGACCTTGTCTCTACAAAAAAAAAAAAAAAAAAATTAGCTGGGCTTGGTGACACGTGCCTGTTGTCCCAGCTACTCAGGAGACTGAAGCTGGAGAATCACTTGGGTCTAGAAGTTTGAGGCTGTCATGAGCTCTGATTGCACCACTGTACTCTAGCCTGGGCAAAAGAATGAGACCCTGTCTCTTAAAATATATATATATTGAATAAAATGTGCTTATGTTAAAAACACACAAATGAAATTTGCATGAATGTTTTTGTAGAAAATGAAAATAAATGTCTTTAAGCTAATGTTAGATTCTCTTATTTCACTGTCTTATAAATTTGATAATATAGTTACCAGAGTATATGTTGACAGACTGTATATTTTATCCATTATTCTCAAGATGTTTTATCAGGAATAATTGGTGTGACATCATTTTTAAAGTTGTTAGCCATCTTCCAGTTCTCTTTCTGTGTCTTCCATGTTTTGACTTTAGTTACCTTAGCTAGGGGAAATTCAGTTCCTGAGTTTCAGCATTTCTTTTTTTAAGAAACATTATTTAGTCAAATACTTTGCCATGTTCTATGACTAGTTATTTTTGGGTTTACATATAATTTTTGATTATGCAGTCATACCATGAAGATCATACTGAATGTTGTAGCCATAATTTTAAGTTCTTGCTAAGATACATTGTACGTTTTTAGATACTGGGATTGGGTTCACCAGTTATAATTCCAGGAGTACCCTTTTGGTGGGAACCTCTTTCGCTAAACATCACACGTATATTTCTTTGTCTTTTGCTTTTACGATAGGGTTTTTGAAGAAGATGGGTTACTGTGTTTTTCTTATAGTGTTGAAATATGGAGGGTAGGTTCTACTAGACCATGTGTGGTGCTTGGTGTACTGAAGGACACATCTGTTGTCCATGCATTATGCTGTGTACTGCTAGTCACAAGACATTTGCATTTTAACAAGCATTGCTTGACAGTCAGCAAGCTGGTGGTGCTGAGGTTTGTTATTTTGTTCTGTACCTTTTATGCCATAAAATCAACAATTTTAGCTCTTGTCCTGGATGGAAATGAATTTTAAGCTAGTTATCATATACCTAAAATAATGTTTATGGTTATTAAGACAACTAAATGTGAATGAATGGGCAGTTTACTCTGCCCTAACCTTGCTTCTTTGTAAATGTCAGTGTTCTTAGCAAAGATTCTTATGTAATTAGTCTGTCCTTCATTTTAACTTTTGGTCCTTAAAAATAAGGTTTTTAAACTAAAATCAACTAAGACTGCTTGTTTCTGATTTTGTAAGGCAAGAATACTGATGTCATTGCAGTTTCTTTTATTGGAGTAAGAATGATAGAAAAGAAGAGAAATCATCAATTAGTAGTAAGCATATTTTAGACCATGTTGTGTGCAGAACCCAAGGATCTACAATCAAGGCCTTAAATGAACTTGGCATTTGGAAAAATACATGTTTACAGTACAAATATGCATTACACTTGGGTGTAGCAGTTTAAGAGCAACTATGAAGCAGCATATTGAAGCAAACAAATAATTAGGATTACATAATTTGATAGAGAAAAAAAAGCTTGGGAAGTTACTATTTCTATTATAATCTGCAAGTACAAAGAGACAAGTTTCATAACATAAATTTGTTCTGTCTTCGTTGGCTTTGATGATTTTCTTGTTTGTATTATGGTCACGTCTTTTCCTTATTTGTTAGAACCATCATTATGTGTCCCTTTCTCCTTCAGCCTTTTCCCTCAGTTCTCTGTCTCTCTCTTTCTCTCTTTCCTTAAGTTCCCTTTGTTCCCTCTTCTTGCACATGGGTTTTCTTCATGAAGCTAAGCCTGACCATAGCCAACTCCGGAATTACGTCTTTACAGTCTTCTGACCAGAGAGAAAAAGCAGCTTTCTCACCCTTTCTAGTTAGTAAAATCCTAGGGAATATTTCCAGCTGGCTCAACTTAGAGCTTATATTCATTGACCAATCTCTGTGACTCAGGGAATGAGACTGTATCATAAACTCACTTTTTTTCAGGAAAGTAGTTTCTGTTCTTGAAAAAGTTGGGGGTGAGAGTGAATCATGTTGGACAGGAAAAAAAAATAGCCACCATAATTAACAAATCTCCATATAAGAGATAATGAAGTGGTCATGAGTCCACAGTGTAGACTCAGATTACCAGGTGTGAGTTCTAGCTCTTCCATTTATGAATAGTATAGCCCTTGGCAAGTTAATTTACTTCTGTATGTCATCACTTATACAATGTGATGATAATGGTAATACTGTCTTCATTAAGGAGTTGTATATTTAGTTAACAAATATAAAAGGTTAGAGAGATGAGTGGCATAGAGCACATTCTCAGTAAGTGGTAGCTACCATCATTCTTATTATCTACATCATCATCATATAAAAAGATACCATTGGGACCCATCCTATGAAAGTAAGTTTGGTTTAACATGCCATAATCAATCAGTACAATCCACTACTTTATTAGACTTAAAACTATATAATCATCTCAGTAGGTACAGAAAAAGCATTTGACAAAATTCAGTGGCCATTTATGAAAAAAAATGAAAACAACTTTCACATAACAAGAAATAGAGGGAATTTCTTCAACCCAACAAAAATCATCACTGAAACACAACTAAAATCATACTTAGTGAAAAATGGCTCTTTTCCTCTAAGATCAGGAAAATAGCAAGGATGTCTACTCTGACCTTTATTTAGTATTGTACTATAGGTCCTAGCCAATACCATAAGTCAAGAAACAGAAATTTTTAATATCCAGATCGGAAAAGATTTAAAACTATTAAATTTTATTAACTATTTAACTGTTTAGCTATTTGCATAAGACATGATTATTTATGTTTTAAAAGTCCTAATGAATCTACAAAAAACCTACTAGAATTTATAACTGAGTTTAGCATGATCATAGGATACAACAAGGTCAGTATATAACAATAATTTTATTTCTACATTCTTGCTGTGAACAACCAGTAATTGAAATTTTAAAATAATACCATTTATGGCAGCATCAAAAATATGAAATAATTTAAGGATAGACTTAAAATACATTCACCTGGTACACTGAAAACTATAAAACATAGCTGAAAGAAGTTAAGGAAAACTTAAATAAACAGGGTTATTTTATTCTTAGTATTATTAAGATCCTGAAATTGATCTATATGTTAAACACAATCCTAATTAAAATCTTACCAGGTGATTTGGTTGAAAATGACAAGTTGGTTCTAAAATTTGTATGGAAATACTTTACAAAGGACCCAGAATAGCCAAAAGCAATTTTGACAAAGCCTCAGTTGGAAGACTCTCACTACCTGATTTCAAGATTTACTATAAACTGGAATAATCAAGACAGTGGGAAAATATTGTATGACAGATTTATGGACCAATGGAATTGAAGAGAATTGAGAAATAGACCAGTGCGTATATGCTCAATGAAATTTTAACAGTGGTGCCAAGGTAATTTTAGGGAGAAAGGATAATCTTTTCAACAAATGGTACTGGAACAATTAAATATCTACATGCAAAAAAAAAAACAAACCAATGAAATAAATTGTGACTCTTCATGTCATATATACATATTAACTCAAAATGGATCAGAGACCTAAAGATAAGAGCTAAAACTATAAATCATATAGAAGAAATCATAGAAAAATCTTTGGGATCTTGGATTAAGCAAAAACTTCTTAGATAAGACATAAAAAACATTTTTTAAAAATTTGATGAACTGATGATTTCATTAAGTTTAAAATTTTTGCTCTTCAAAAGGACTGTTTTTGTGAAGAAAATGAAAAAGATAAACGGCCCCACTACCACCACCCCCAGGCCATAGGCGAGGGAGAAAATATTTACAAAACTTATACCTGATAAAGAACTTGTATCCTGAATGTATGAAGAACTCTTACAACTCAAGAAGAAAAACAACCCATTGTTTTAAATGGTCAAAAGATTTGAATAGACACTTCTCCAAAGACAACATGTGAGCACTAGAAAACTCATTCGGAAAATGCAAATTAAAACCACGGAGAAAATTACTTCACATCCACTAATACAGCTAAAGTTAAAAAGACTGAAATGCCAAGTGTTCACAAGAATGTGTAAGAGTTTAGTGGTTTCTTATAGAGTTAAATAACATACAATCCAGCAATCCTACTCATAGGTATTTATTCAAGAGAAATGAAAACATATATTCACATAAAAACCTGTACAGGTGTTCATAGCAGCTTTCTTCATAATACCCCAACACTGGAAACAACTACAACTGGTAAAGAAATCGAGGCACATCTGTACAATGGAAAAATAGCAATTAAAAGGAATGAATTGCTTTTCTCAGTTGGGTGCGGGTTTGTGGTGCTCCCTGAGCTGTCTTTCCTGCGCCAAGATGCTTCAAAATTTTATTAAAAATGTGTGGCTCCCCTTGAAACCCTACTATACCCAAGTTTACCAGGAGATTTGGGTAGGAATGGGGCTGATGGGCTTCATCGTTTATAAACTCCATGCCGCCGATAAAAGAAATAAGGCTGCGAAAGCTGTAGCATCTGCTCGTGATCATCATTAACCAGCTTACTTGGAGTACCTGTGAAAGAAAACGTCAGTCTGCCTGTAAATTTGAGCAAGCCGTGTTAGATGGGGCGCGTGGAACATCACTGTACACTTGTATGAGTACCGTTTACTTCATGGCATGAATAAATGGATCTGTGAGATGCTCTGGAAAAAAAAAAGGAATGAATTACTGATATACAAAACAGTTTGGATGCATTTGAAAAGCTTTATGCTGACTGATAGATAGCAGAAACAAAACAGTACCTATGGTATGATTCTATTTGCAGGAAATTTTTGAAAAGGCAAAACTGCAGTGACAGGAAGCAGATTAGTGGTTGCCTGGAAGTTGGTGGGGGGATGGCGGGGGCGGGGGCAGTACTGGAGTAAAAGAGCCCGGGGCAACTTTTTGGGGTAATGGAAATGTTCTGTATCATGATTGTAGTGATGGATTACATGAATGTTTACATTTTTTCAAAATTCATTGCACTGTCTACTTAAGATTGGTGAGTTTTATTATATAAAGATTATTTCTCAATAAAGCTGATTAAAACTAAGATAACCAGTAGCGTAGGACTGTAATTAAGGACCAGCAGCGTTCAGGAGCAGGGAGAGCACGGGTTTCAGAACTCTTTCCCAGAGGGTGTGGAATCAGTGGTGTGGGGCTGTGATTTGCAGGAGAGGAGGAAGGAGGGGTGTCTACACGTAAAGGAAATTAGTGTCTACAGATGAGAGCATGACACCTGGTGTGAGATTTGGTTTCTAGCTCCCACTCCACCTCTAATAACTTTAGTAGTTTTTTGTATTTTTTTTTTTCATTTTAATAGCTCTAGGATTTATAAAGAACTTTTGTATTCACTACACAATGTAAATTTGATCGTGGGTCAAGTACCTAACGCTGTACACCTGGGTTTCTTTATCTGTAAATCATCTGCTCCCAGGTCTTTTGTGGAGTTCAGTTATTTCTTTTTTCCCCGCTGTGACTGCTGTTACTAGTGTGTTAGGGGAAGGACTGAGGAATGGAGAAAGGTTGGCTGAGATTTGTGAGGATTGGCAGGGCTCTTACAGGAAATGTCTGAAACTTTCAAAGACAGAACCTCCACACCTCCTCCCAGTAAGTGGCCTTTCTGTGATGCATTACCTTTCCCTTCGGAGCATTACAGTAGCTCTCTGCTCCCCAGCAATGTTCAGTTTCTTAAAAGTCTACACCTATTTTCTCCGCTTCCTCACATCCTACTTATTTCTCAAGCACTGCAGTCCAGCTTCTGCCTCCTCCTCCCCTCTGAAAGTGGATAAGGTCACCACTGATTTGTTTCCTTTTGCCAAATGCAGTTTGTAAATCCTACTTTACTGTTTGACAGCGTTTAACAGTCATGATTATTCTTTCCTTAAAATTGTTTTCTTGGCTTCCAGAACATCTTTCTTTCCTACTGCCTCTCCTCCTTCTGTTTAAGTGACCCTTTCTGGCCTCTCTTTCTTCACCCTTTCAGTCTTGGTGTTTCTTACAATCTCTTTTTCTTTTCTTTTCTTTTTTTTTTTTTTTTTTTTTTTTTTGAGATGGGGTCTCACTCTGTCGCCCAGGCTGGAGTGCAGTGGCGCAATCTCGGCTCAGTCACTGCAACCTCCGCCTCCCGGGTTCAAGCAATTCTCCTGCCTCAGCCTCCTGAGTAGCTGGGATTACAGGCACACACCACCATGCCCAACTAATTTTTGTATTTTTAGTAGAGACAGGGTTTCACCACATTGGTCAGACTGATCCCAAACTCCTGACCTTGTGATCCACCTGCTCGACCTCCCAAAGTGCTGGGATTACAGGTGTAAGCCACCACGCCCAGTCTCCCACAGTTCTTTCTTACATTACACAATATCCTTGGGTGATCGCCTCCACTTTTGTGATTGCAGCTGATGCACATAACCCTAAAATTTCTCCTTCCCTATCTTCTGAGCACCAAATTAGTATTTCTAAACTGCCCATCTGCTTCTTTCTGACCATCTCCACCTGGTGTTGCTGAGCACCTGTACTTTCCCTAAAAGGTTTGTTAACAGCATGGATTCTGGAGCCAGCAATACTAGCATTGACTCCTGACTCCGCCACTAAGCTGTGTGCCTGGGCAAATTACTCTCTCAGGTTCATTCCATCATCCATTTAAAAAGAGGGAGGGAGAATGGATAATGGTAGGACCCACATCACACGGTTGTTAGATGGACGGCACCTGATACATAACTCATAACTGCTGCTACTGTTACTAATTTCTTTGTCTTCCTGAGCCCTCTCCCTCCCTTTCAATTTGTTTGTATTGCTAGCATGTCAGTTACCTTACCAACTAAGCACTGTGTTTCCCAGATTAGAGACCTCAGTCAGCCCTGATCCTTTCCTTCCCTTTCCATGCTGTCTCTGCCTTCCACACAGCTCTATTTGCTTTAACTTGAGGCCTCCTCATCTCTTTCTTTGGGTAATGTGGATGTTTCCTAAGGGTTCTGTTTCTACTCTTGTTCAGTTGTCATCTCCTGGCCATCCTTTTCTCCAGGAGCAGAGAAGTCTTTCTAAAACAAATAGAATTTTATATACTTGGACCACGTTGCTCAGGTCAGTGGTTTTCAACCTTCAGTTCTAGGTACCCTGAAGTAGGGACTCTAGCTACCACACATGGCAGGGCTTAGGGTGGAGGCTCAGGACATAGATGCACAGGTAGTAAACTGCCATCCTCACTGCAGAGCGCTGCCCCCACCTCGCAGCTGAGTACCAAACACAGCAGCTTTGCGTTGATCCCATAGTGCAGTCCTGCTTTCATAGAACACCTCTGGCTTTCACAATAAAGTTCAAAGTCTGAGGGACTTAAGAAGTACTTGATGAACCATCCTCACTGCTACCCAGCCTCATTGCTGTGCTCTGCTGTGTACTCATACTTGATGAACATGCAGTGCTGTTTCCTCCACCCTCAGGGCTCATAATTCTCTACCTTAGCTCCTGTTCCATTCTCTGCCCAAATCACCTTTGTCGTTGCCCGATTTGCTCGGCTAACTCCTAATTGTTTCTTAAGAATGCAGTGCAGGCATCATCTCCAGAAGTGATTGCTTCTTTCTCCCTTCGAGTGCAGTTGGGCAGTCCTCACCTGTGTCCCCCTAATATTCCGTGTTCATCTACAGTCTGTTAGGCATGTCCTTTCTCACCTGACTGCGCCCTCAGGGAGGTGGGATGGAAACGGTGCTGCTTTTGCTTTCACGTTGCCTGGCACATAGTAGACCCTTGGTAAATATTTGACTCACTGTCTGTCTCAGTGGCTGAGCAAGATAAAATGCATACCTCTTAGCATGGTCCGTGTAGCCTTTTTATTTGGTGCTTCTTGTCTTGCCGGCTTCATTTCTTGCTACCTCTCACCCCCACGAGTTTTCTCTGTTCTTGCCTTATAAGCTATGGGTATTTCTTTGAAATCTCGCAGTGCCTTTCTGAACACTTTCCCTCTTCTGAATTATTCTTCCTCTCCCTTTGCTTTTTCAAATAGCAAGTCCCCTAACCTTCAAGGCTACAGTCAAGATAGATTTCCTCTGTGGAATGCACCTAATCTTCCCCCTCTTCTCCCACAGTGCTGTCTTCAGACCCGTGGCAGTCTCTGATTTCAGTATTGTAGACGGTTTTTTTTCCCCATTCCAGTAGACTTCAGGTTCTAGGGGGCAGGGAGCCATGTCTCTTTCATTATTTTGTAAGACCAATGTGCCATTAGCTTCTCACTCCAAATAGAATAAAAGTCCGGGGCTTTTGATGTGCCATAAAGCAGCCCTTCACAGTATGGCTTCAAACTGTCTTCGTTCTGGTGTCATCTCCTGCCACCATCTGTGCACCCTGCACTACAGCCATTCCACCAGCTTGTGATTTTCTCAGCGTGCTCCCGTTTGGACTGACCACACTTATTCTGTTTACATGCTGCTTTCTTTTGTGAAATGCTGTCTGTTGGCAGGGGCTCTGTTTTCTTCAGGATAGCATGTTCTTTTTATCAGATTTTTAAAATGCTGTATAATACTTTCTGCATACACAAAAAATAGAGTAATATAGCACTTTCTTGTGTATGTATCCAGTGTTACCAAAAGAACATTTTTTATCTACTGTATGTATGTGCATATATATATATATATATATATATATAGAGAGAGAGAGAGAGAGTAGTTATGTGAGAACTGTACTCACTGTTTCCTCCTTTCTCAGAGAACAGTGGCAATCCTAAATGTAGGATTTATCGTTTCCATATCTATTTGATGTTATTACTTCATATGTTTAATCTGTAAATGATATGTAATATTGTTTTCCATTTTTAAAACATAAAATTGCCTTGTTCATGTTCTCTAAGGATTTCTGCCTATTTTTTACTCAACATTGTTTTTGAGATGTATCCATACTGATACATGTAGCTTTAGATAATTTTAAATTGCTGTATAATATTTTCTTGTATAAATATCACACAGTTTATTTACTCATCCTCTTGATTAGTGTTTTGGCTGTTTTCATTTTTTTAATTTGTAATGAACATTCTTATAAAAAAAAGAAAAACTAGTCTTGTTCAAATTTTTAAAAAGTATTCTAGCAAAAAGACCCCAACTAAGTGAATATTAAGCAGACTTGAACATTTTTATTTTTAAGACATTTTTAAAATCAAGTTTATCATCTGGGCATGGTGACTCATGCCTGTAATCACAGCACTTTGGGAGTCTGAGGCAGGCAGATCACCTGAGGTCAGGAGTTTGAGACCAGCCTAGCCAACATGGTGAAACCCTGTGTCTACAAAAAATAAAAAATTAGCCAGATGTGGTGGCATGCGCCTTTAGTTCCAGCTACTCGGGAAGCTGAGACAGGAGAATCGCTTGAACCTGGGAAGTCGAGGTGGCAGTGAGCTGAGACTGCACCACTGCACTCTAGCCTGGGCGACAGAGTGAGATTCTGTCTCAAAAAAAAAAATAATAAAATGAAATTAAATGTATCCATTTACATATAAACATCATATGTCTTTATTACTTACTCTAATTAGCATTAAGCTAGGGGGTAAGTACTTTGCAAAGCTTTAAGCAAAAGTCACTCTTTTCACTCGGCAGTTTGCAACTTGTGTCTTATATACATTTTGCCTTAAAAATGCTAAATAAAATCCAAAATTAGAATGTTTAAATAAAACTTTGAAAGCACT